TCGCACGGACGGACGCTCGCACGGACGGACGATCATGCGATTCTACAAGCTGCATCTGACTACGTCAAATGAGCTAATAATAATAATAAGCAATGGACACATGCCCAGACACAATCACAGCATAATCTGACAACATTAGAAAACATCTGACAACATTTTTCAATAGACTATGGAATGACAATATCATATGAAAACGAGCTACAAACTACCTAGAGTGATTGTAACCAAATAACTTTGACACAGTGTCGGCTCAATCTATCGACGTGCAACAGGCTATACCTTCTCAGAGTTCAGTAACAGATGTCCGTTCGCTCTTACTGCCTTCGGCCACTTTGTTCTACAGACGAAAAGTACACAAACTTATACAACAGCTTCAACAAGATACAGAGGCAGCAAAAAATTGTGATGGCAGACCACAAAAAAACATCACTACTTTCCCCAGCTTTGAGAATAACGCACCTGTCGTTGGGCCAGATGGCACAGTGGTTGTAGAGATAGTAGGTCAGGTGGTTGGGGATGAGATCCTTGCCAGACACACGCAGGTCAACGCCGTACCAGTGCTCAAACTCCTTCTTCATCACATCCAAGTTGCTCTTAGTAATGCTCGTCTTTGGAAAGGGAGCATCCTTGAAGAAGACATAGTCCCACACTTCTGGGGTCAACTGCTCTGGCCTGCCAAATTCAAAATGCCATACAGTAATATACCTACGTTATGTATGGGTGTATATAAGTAAACAAAGTTATAACCCAAGGTACGTATTACCGCAACCTAACTTATTATAAGCTATATGTACATATATATGCATTAATGTACATAGAACAAAGAAACGATTTTCAGGTATTGTTAACTAAGCATATATATATACTGTATGAAATGGGATTAACGGGACAATATGTGCAGAAATATAGGTAGGGAAATAATACATGTAATATCAATGATATCATATGCTACAACCCTCAATCGAAGGGCACTAGAGTCAATATATTGTGCATCTACCTTATATTAAGCGGACTCTTGCCACTGCCATCGTATACACCGCCCTGCAGGAGGTGTGACACCGTGTAGTAAGCCATGTAGATGGTAGAATCCGACAGCGACTCAATCAGATACTGTGGGTCCCACGGCAGTTTCGTGCCTGTAACGTTGTTTCGCGTACTCGTAAAGACGTCTATTAATGACTGCTACGCTGCGAAGCAACGCTCTGCAGTCGTAAAAAATGGCTATGAACAACGTCGCCATTAGGGGGCATCCATAATTAACTGCCACAATGACTGCGACATTAGTGGGCAAAGCTTGGCAGTTGCAAACACAATTACGACGTAGAACGAAAGTCCCGTCTCCAGTATTAGTAAATATAGTAATACTAAAACCAATAGGGACGTAAAAGAACCAATGAGGGTGCAAAAAAAAAAACTCTGGCTGTTAACACCCTCAGTGCCATTTAGCTAAAAAGGCTAACTACCTGGCTGTACCCAAGCTAGGTCACACCCCATGGCTAGCTATAGCCCTGGATGTTTAATTATTCCTTACGAACTGTCCAGTATAGAAGTAGAAGTAGAAGAAAGCAACGACCAATGAGCAGCCATGTTAAATGTGCAATCCAACTAATACCTGACAAGTAATATCGCTGGAAGATGGAAATATAGAATGCCCCTTAAAAACAATAATAATAATAACAATAACTAGAGTACTCGGAGAGCACAGACTTCCGCCAAGACAGCTGAATTCTCTCACTGTGAAATTTTTTATTTATTAATTAATTAATTAAGTTTGAGAAATTAATTATTAATTAAATTAATTAAATAATTTATTGCATTCCGGATACGGAGCACTATTTGATAGATAGATATTCGCTGAGATGCGAGCGTGGCAGGTGGGCGGAGGAGCTGTGTGGTGCCCTTAGCCTGTGGTGTGCGTGTTTGTAAGTCTACAGCCAGGCGCACGAGACTAGGCGGAAGTGAACTGAAACGTGCTGTTCCAACACCCACACACCAAACTCAAACACCGCCGGTAGAACCATAACTCCGCGGCAAGCACCCCTGGCGAGGATACTATTAGGAAGAAGGCAGAAAGAAGAATACTGATAAAAGAACTGAGAGCACGGGGGCCCCACGGTGCACGCCGACTCCCCCGCCCTCGAAGAGCACAGACCTCAACCCCGCCAAGGCCAGCCACTAATACCTAAAGTGAAAATTAATTAATTAATTAATAATTATATTAATTATTAAATTACATAATTAATTGGATCGGCGGATCACCACAAAAATGTAATCAGTTCTAAGTTACCCATTTCTGACCTATCCTGAAAAATTTTATTATTAATTGATTAGTTAATTAATTAATTGGATCCGGATACGACCAAAAATTCATCAATTCTAAGTTGGGCGATTTCTGACCTATCCTGAAAAATTTATGACAATCCGTCCATAAATTTTTCAGTTAGGCTGTACACAAACAAACCCACAAACCCACAAACAAACAGTCAAACACACGCCGGTGAAAACAACCTCCTGACACCCTTACTTGGCGGAGGTAATGATAAGCTGAACAACAAGTGCCGCAGAGAGCGATAGGGCTCATCTGGTGTCTGGTGTTCTGCTTATAAATTCATTTGTGCATAGCAAGACGTCCTATACATACGTTAATTTCTAACCCACAAAAAACAACACTTTAAACTAGTGTAATAAATTCCGATAGATTGGCGGGCCGCTATCAAAAGCATCGTTGCATCGGTCAGCCAAGAGCATATGCAGCAATGGCAGCTCTCAGTGTGACGAGCGGATTGCAAAAACGCAGGAGCCGAATAATTACCATATTATTACTATACATAACGTGCGTTCTATGGTGTCAGGTAATAACTACATTAAACCCCTTGGCGGGCACATCTGGCTCGTTAAAAAATAGCTCAATGGTTGATACAACCAGAGGCAGCTCGTGCAAGATTACAATTTAGCAGCAATACGATAGCAAATATATGTAAACTAATTTCAGTACAAGGTAGGCCAGTGATTAGTGGACCAAATAAGCTCAAGAACGTACACACTTGCATCTATATTGGTGCCAAAATTTGAGGAGAAAATTCAGTTGAGGAAATCCGCAGCCTCACTCCTGGTAATTATTTGAGTGCTAGTGACTGTATTCCAACTATTCATAATGTACACTACAGAATCTCATATATAAGTCTGCTCATTATCTCCTAAGTAAGCGGTTGTTCAAGTAAGAGTTATGTGTGGAATTTCACTGTAAAATGGAGCTTTCGCACAACCACCAGGACTACTGCCGCCACGGAGTTTGAGAAACAAATCAATGTTTAACCCTCCTCTTGAGGTGCAAAAGGTTATCCGACACTTTACTCTTCGCATGTCAGCAGAAAGTACATTTCATGGTCCTTTCAATCAAAGCCTAAAAATGCTAGGTCAACCGCTGGAAACAAAAAAGGTTTTTCATCACTCCGTCCAGAGCCATGTCCTCAGAAAATGTCTAAAATCTGCCCTGTGCCCCATTGACCTTTGACCTGTGACCTCCAATTTCCGCACAGTGATGGCTTTTCCTACCATGATGCTATACACCGACTATCACGAGCCTAGGTCGAGCCGTTTAGATTTGTGCCGTAATTCTGCATTTCCTCCCTATACCTTAAGTTACCTTATACCTTAAGTTCCTAAGGTACAGTAAGGTACTTTCCTCCCTATACCTTAAGTTACCTTAAGGAGGGAATGTTCCCCCTTCTTTTACACCTCTTGACCTTTGACCTTTGACCTTTGGCCCCCCAGCTTCGACATTCCAACTCGTTTTCGGATTACCCCCCACGTCCCGACTTTCGAATCTGTACGTCGAGCCGTTTAGATTTGTGCCCAATTGTTGACGGACGCACGCACGGACGCACGCTCATGCGATTCTACAAGCTGCATCTGACTATGTCAGATGAGCTAATAATAAGTGACAGGCTTTGCTCACCCAGGCCATACGAACGCGAGCACGCATGCTCGTGAAGCCAATCCAGAGTTGCTAAATAATTCCTGCGCACTTCGTCCAGGTATGTCTCCATCTGATCCAGGCACTGTGTCGTCTCCTTCTTCCAGCCCTCCTCACCATAGTCCAGATACCTGCATCAGAATTTCTCCTGAACTCATGCATGTTTAAATTGTAATACAATAATTGAAAATAGTGAAATATCCAGGCCAACTCATCGAGTTTGTAAACGGACCATGACAGTTATTTTTCAAATGCCCGCTACATTAACATGATTAAGCTTAGTTACATAATGCGTACTGAAGGGAGGAGCAATAGATTACTCTATACACCAAGTCAGCTTACCACTGATCACACAGTGCGACCACGCACTCGTCACCAGACCTAGAGATGATCTTCTTCTCTGGCTCCTGATAGACAACAGCTTCATTCTGCAGCAGTGAACGCAATCAAAACTAACCAACTTGCACTTTACCGACTAGTAAAGAACGCCACTCAATCTTGCACTTAGTGATACTGTCATCATTCAAAAAAACATAAGAAAACAAAGACACTTTACATGTAAGAGAGGCCAAAAGTGTAAAGGATACCTCTGGTCAGTCAGCACATTGACGAAGTTTACACAAAGCATTTGTTGTCAACATGTGATTACAGTAAAGTGGCCATAATCATTACAATTAATATATATCTCATACTATGATCACTAATTAACATAATGCTGCTACTAATGCACTTACTCTATCAATCATCTTCTTCTGAATGGGTTTCTTAACATCCTGGACCTTCTCGCCTTTACAGTCACCCACCAGCATCACCTATAGTATGCAATTACTTTATTTTAACTTTTTTCTTATTTGAAATAGGTGGACCATCAAAAAAACGGTTACACTTCTCCAAGAGTTTATCAAGAAACCTTTGCTCTGTTGTTGATAGCTCGCTGTCATGTTCGGCTGTTCCACAAATTTACAAATATTGCCTTGTCTCTCGGATAGGAACCTACTTGATTACTCCTCTAATAATGAGTAAAGTGTGTTTATAAAACATGTTTCGTTATTTCTACTTCAGTTTTTTTTAACAGAGTTCTAAAATTTGTTACTATTTCTGAAATCCGACTGCACTCTGCTGTCCGCAGCCTGGCTCCCAACCACACGGCAAGACTGTATCACTTACACCTTCGTAGAAGCCTTTGAGGTAGACCCTCTCCTTGGCTTCAGTCAGCTTATCCTTGTCATTCTGACTCTGCACCTTCAGCTGCTCGCAGGCAGTCACGGCTGATAGATTACCGAACCCCGGAATTTCAATTATCGGCACCTACACAGAAGACAGCTCACTAGATTAGCGTGAATCTGGCAATCCGATGAGCTTCTCCTTAGCAGCCACTAGCTTTCACCCGGAGTGTATATAAGCTTAGCTGTTTAAACATACAATGAATGCAGGATGAATGCAGAACATTCAACCTGTGCCCATGGACGGTATCATAAATAATACTTCATCAACAATGACCAGTAATAAGTGTATATGACAGCAGTGACACTCACACCTCTGGCCTCCCACAATATATGATATCTCGATGCTAGCTTCTCTTCCCACCCCCAGAATGGTTCCCACCTCTACTTCATTTTCCACTCTCTCATTCTGTCTCTAGCTTTCTGTCGTCCATTATGCTTCCAAATCTTTCATCCAGTCTTTGGCTTTCTACTCTCGCTCCTCTGCGCCCATCTCTATTATCCAGTTCTCCTGATTTCTACCCTCTCCTATACTCCTTAACACCTACCCCTCTCATCTTTCAACTTCCCCTCTCTCTCATCCACTCCCAATCTATTTACTCCTTGGTCACATACGGGATCATAAGGCAGCACCATCTCATCCTTTATGCCGTATTTCTCACGGAAAGGCTGCTTCTTCTTGAGATCTCGGAGAGCAGCAAAGTCATCTGGGGCGTCTGACGGTACACTGGTGACAATCCCCGTGCCTGCAGAGAAATAATGATTAAAAGTAACATAATCCTGCATGAACATATTATATCGACACACGATAGCTACATTACTAAATTGCAAAATGCTTTACAGAGGTACTTTTAACGAAAGCTAGGGTTGCCTGAGATAGCACCTCTGCGAATGCAGTTACATGAAGTGTGGACACCTGTCTCGATGATTACAACACAATGTCTCGATGATAGCCGTTGATTATTTATAGACAATGAAAACTAGAGATGTAACATGCAAAATGTAAAGCTTTACAGTCACAACTAAATTCCATCCAACACTTACCTTTATCCTCCTTAATCGTTAGCATCGGAAGCGTATAAATCATCTTGTACTTTGTCAAAGGTGCATGCAGACCCATGCCCATTATATCCTATAAATGCAATAACTGCAATTATGCCATTATAATGCAATACATTAAATCCAATATATTTCGTTTCAATTAGAACAACATTCATGCAGGAAGCATTGTTCCAGTTTTAAGATTGCATTTACTTACAACAGAAGACATGTATAGCACATCCGTAATTCACAACAGCGATAGAGACGTAACATAACACGACGTCACCCGACTCTTTGCACATGTCGCTCGTATTTACGCACCTGTCCAACGATGTCTAGCAGGACGTCGACCTTTCCGTTGACCTTGGTGAAGCCCTGATACGCCATGTTACGTGCAGCTCTCAGCGTGCAGACAAACACCTCACCATTCGCGAGCTCATGTGCCACGTACTTCATGTCGGGACGCACCCAGCAGTTCGTCTGGCCGTACATCGTCTCCGGACGCAGGGTCGCGGCAACCAGATAGATTGGGCGGCCACCAAGTGATCTAACACAATATAGAACAATTGACTATCAAAGAGGGCAACATACAGTTTTGTGGACTGAGAAAATTAACGTTAGGCGAAACCAGAGATCAAGATAACTCAAAAGATTCCCAAGGTACACAAAACCAAGTTGGTAAAATATCAAATTTGAATATGCATATAATTCCAATTTCAATAAAATATGATGACAGTCATACATTGTTCAGGCATGCTATTTAGTTTGTAATTCAGTGTTCAAATTATTAACATAGTTTCATATTGATATATTGTTCAATCGGATCCTTACTGCAACTTTGGTGGTAAAGGCTCCACTGCTTTCATCTTGATAAGTGTGTATTCTTGAGGTCCAACTCCCTAGTCAAGCAATAATAAAATTTATAGGTAATATAAATATATAACATACAAATAAATAAATATATAATAATAAAAGACTATTATATATCAGAAGTTACGAAGCAATACAACAGGTGTGTGTGAGGATAAACGCAAAATATTTGAATAGGGACTGTGGCAAAACATTTCTCCTGCAATAAGGAATCACAGGAAAGCAATAATAACATGAAAAATGTAGTAAAGTGAGTAATTACTAATTAATTTAATTGCTATAACATTCACATCTAAAACTGTTGAACTAAATTAACCTAATACTAAACATTTAAGGATGGCACATAGTTACACATAAACAAAGGATAAATAACTAACAAATAATACATTAGTTTAAACAAATGTTCCTAGTAATGTTTAAACTTGTATAGAAACTTAATGTGTGTTTATACCTCTCCAGTACTTCTGTCGTGGTCCATACATGGCTGGTCATCTTTTGGAGAAAATATTGTATACCTGAAAATTTATCACTGGTTATGTCTAGTTTGTTTACAAGTCTATTCGTGATAGTTTAGCAGTTTGATGAAATATCGTGGATAAATGTTTTTAATTCAATTTTTTAACATTAAATCACTAATTACCTACTAATTACCCTATTCTGTTGCCTAGTCTAGTCCATGAGGTATTTTGCATGCATGATAATCATTTGGGACCCTTTGACCAAATTAAGCTGTACCATGTACACTAACGTGACACTACCTTTTGCCAAATAGGATTTTATTTCTGGCCTTCAGATGCAGAAACTGCCACCTGACAAACGAGTCGTAGTAGGGGTTGGCGTCCGTTGTGATGAAGGTGCGTCTCCAATCCACCTAATGGCAAAAAGAGATGCCTAAATTAGGGGGTTTTATACCTTAATTTGCTTAAACGTTTTACTACAATTTTTCCTTATATTCAAGGAACTCCCCGAAATTCAGGCCAAATACAATCTTTGTACTTTGTATCCCCGGTCAACAATTAGTGAACAAACTTTCGTTTCAAGTTTTTTTTGCCTCCATGACAGTAGATTGAACTTCCGTATCAGTATATTGAGTATATTAAACATGTTACTATATTTGATCAACAATAGACATGTTCTCAATGTTCAGGACTTTCTAGGTAAACAGGTTAACTCATATTCTAACTGCTTTTAAAACTAACAAACTTTATTTGTACCACTAATATGGCTTCCCCACACCTAGCCCTATTTAGACCCTAATTAACAAACAACATCTACATCTGGCTGAAGAGGTAAGTATGAAATAAGGAAAGAACACACAGAACCCTACACTCGAAAATCACGTGACAGATTTTCCACATCTTATTAATACTAACTTTGATTCCCATTTTCTTGAGATCTTCCACAGCATGCGGTGGAAAGTATCCGAGCCAGTGGCTGGGATCGGCAAATTTGGCAATCTCCTCGTCGGACATGTTCATGGAGCGCATGATCTCCCACTGGTACTTAGCACCGCCTGCCTTTGCTGCCGCCTTGCTCTACATGAAAAAAATGCTTATTTGTTAAATGCCGTCATCCCCATGGGATTTACTGAATATTTTAGTTTTGAGAGTATGTGACCTATGAGTAAAAGTATCAGGAGAAATAAGATGGATGGGTGTTTTAGGTTGTATATTGAAGCCAGTCTCCTGGTCGGGCTATGAAATACATGGTGTAAAAGCCTAAATATACGGCTGAATTTGCTTTTTATTTAAGCAATTTTTCTACAGAGAGTACATTTATCAGATGCTGATCTAATCACATGAACCGATTTAGCACTCAGACACATTTCCAGGCTAGGACAAACAACAGCTTCTCTGGACATTCTGCACAGTAATAATCTGATTAGCCATTTTCCAATGTCTTCTAAATTTCTCCTCAGCGATAATGTTGTCACCACCTTTCTCTTAATTCACCATCAAATTCATCATCTTCAAACCTACTTTAGCATACAGGATGAGCGCTAGACTCTAGCATAATTACATACAAGAGGTGCAGATGATGGGGGTGAATCAATCTGACCCAGCAAATGGATGAAAGTAACAAAAAACAGTGGATTCTCAAATGTGAAACATCAAACAGTCCTGTATAATGGCAAACCGTCCCAAACATTGCCGAGCAGTTCCGAGTAGTTGAACGGCGGGCCAGTATCAGGGAAAAAATTTCAATTTATTTTTCAGGGGCTACTTTTCAAGCTCGCGCGCATGAAAATAGCACTCTAAAATTTGGTTTCCATTGAACTCTATGCAAATTTACGGGGGCTCCTTTCGGCATTTCGGGGGCTAAATCACCCCGAGCCCCCGTGTATTTTTTTCACTGGCCAGTATAGTGTAACACGATTACAGTCAAGCGATCTGGTGGTGGAAAGCACAAACCGACCACCCGACAGGTACCGAAACGACCTACTGCTGTAACGACTGAGTGAATGCTACCTTCTTGCCCTTTGACTTGTCTACGGGAACCTCAGCGACGCTGGCCGCACTGGCCACACTCGTCATCTGCGCTGCATCCCTGTCGCCGTCGTCGTCGGGAAACTGTGGCGGATATCCATAGTCCTTCATCTCCCGCCTCAACTTGTCCGCACATGCCTTGATCGGCATTCCTGCACAACGCACGTGAGAACACTGATCGGCGGAAAGCGCACAAACACTGTGTATGCGTACATTGTCAGATACTAAAATATATCAGCAATTAGTGAGGGAAAAGTAATATTTTTGTAATATTTCTCAATGCTTATATCCAGTATGGAAATGATAATGAACTGCAAAGTAGCAATAGACCACAATATGGCATGATATTAACAAGAAATTCTGACAGATTTACCTGTACAGTGGAGCCCGAAAGGAAATAAACACTGTTTTCCATGGAGTCGCTGGTATCCGACTGCAAACTGCATGAATGTCAAAAAAACTAGAAAAAACTAGATGCATGTTTATCACGTGTTACACTATTGATAGCAAGTTGGTACCGCAAGAGAATGTAATAAGAATTAGCTATTAGAGAAAAACATGGAATAATTTTTCAATCCATAACAATGGGACAGTCGAGTGCTGTACATAGCAGTGTAACAGCTCGTGCAAGTTGATGCAAGTGCAATGCTACACTGGCTTAGTGAAGAATGATATTTATTGATAGGTTGTCAACCTCAAAAACATTTTATTATTACCAAGCTGTTATTGATACATTTCATAACATACTATTTGTCACAGAAACAGACACATGGGCATATATAGGCTCATAAACAAAAACCTCACAATTAACTCACTTCACACTTGGATAGTGAAAATGTGTGCCCAAGGTGCAGACGTCCATTCATGTATGGGTACGGAAACGTGACGAAATATTTCTCTCTCCTGGAAAAGATCATATTAATCACTTTATAATGTAGTTGAATTACATAATTATACTCATTACTTTCTTACTGCATATATACACAAGGAAGGAAAATAGGAAGAAATATTCACATTTGCCCATGAATTGAAATTAAGCCACAATAAGAATAAAATTTAAATATTTTAGAGGGCAGCAAGTGTTGCTTAGGGTAAATTTTAGGGTACCATGACAAGTCAGATGGGCACCCTGACAACTTACTTTTCATCAACACTTTATATTGCAATATACATACAAAATATGAAATACGAGGCAGGCCTGCAACCCACGAGGCAGCCCATAGCCATTGCTGTCGATAGAATTAAACTTTCAAGCGCTAGATCATGACAAATGAGGACGGCAAGGGCAGCACTTGCTCTCAGTGTCAAACTATGTCTCCACACACACGGCACGACACGACACAGCAAAACGCAGCGCCGTTGTGCTGGAAAAAAAATACATTGTGATTTCGCGCATTGTGTATGAGCGCATTGTGTTCACTCTAGTTCAGTGTTCAGAAATTATGCATGTGCTCGTTGTCCATTGGCTGATAGTGGCGCGAGCAGAACATGTGATAAAAAACAATCGCATTGATTGGTTCAACTGTCTTTCTCCATACACGGCAGCCGGCACCGTGAAACCGGGCTGGCGCCGTGCCGTGTCAGTGGAGACTGCACCATAAGATATAATAGATTTGAACTTTGCCGGTAGGGGTGAACGACGCTGTTTCCGTGGCGTTCCGTGCCGCGCCGCGTGTGTGGAGACGGGCCTTCATGGTAGAATTTGATCCTTGCTAGATATGTATCAGTATGACAGATTACCCTTCCTGTGCATTTTCTTCAAACACGTGTTCGCTGTCCCAGCGCTCCTGTACGGATTTCTCTAGCTCCAGCAGTGCATTCACCTTTGCTGTGCCCTTCCGCTGCAAATAGTCACATATCTCAGATAGAACTCTAAATCTAGCATTGGTCGGGCAAGATGGCAGTTGGATCCAGAAAGGTGTGTATAATATTACATCAGGAGTGAATACAAAATAAATGAGTGCATGAGGCCTAATTATTTGAAAGCCAACGTTTTCTAACTTTAATCTAGCTATGATTTATTATGTTGAACTCAACAACCCTGAGCTCACGAGCTACCATCATTCACCTAGCATCGTATGAAAATTTGTTTTCCTATACACGTTCATAAATTAAATCCACAAATGTAGACTCAAACATATGGCACGGTTTTGGATAATGATCACATGGAACCATATGATACATCATACAGTGACGTCCACAGCATTCTTAACAAGTGGCTGTGAACCAAAAAAAAAAAATTGAAAATCAATGATTTTGGTGGCCCGATCGGGCCACTGAAAAAAAAAGTTAGTGTCGAGCCTTGCAATATGGCTATACGCACGGCGGCCGTGTGGATAAGATTCAATATGGCTATACGCACGGCGGCCGTATGGCCGACTCAATATGGCTAGGAATGAGGAAGGGGAGAAGGGAGAAGCTGCTGGAGAAGGAGGGGGAGAAGCTGGTGGAGAAGGAGGAAGGGGAGAAGGGAGAAGGTGGTGGAGAAGGAGGAAGGGGAGAAGGGAGAAGGTGGTGGTGAAGGAGGAAGGGA